GAAACACAGAGACACACAGAGACACAGAGACACAGAGGACACAGAGACACACAGACACACAGCACACACAGACACACATACACACAGACACCCTACACAGACACACACAGACACACACACACACAGACACACACACACAGACACAGACAGACACAGACAGACACAGACAGACACAGACAGACACAGACAGACACAGACAGACACAGAGACACACAGACACAGAGACACACAGACACACAGACACACAGACACACACACACACAGACACACAGACACACAGACACACAGACACACAGACACACAGAAACACAGAGACACAGAGACACAGAGACACAGAGACACAGAGACACACAGACACACAGACACACACAGACACACACAGACACACAGACACCCTACACAGAGACACACAGAAACACAGACACACAGAAACACAGAGACAAAGAGACACACGGAGACACGGAGACACAGAGACACACAGACACACAGACACACAGAGACACAGAGACACAGAGACACACAAACACACGAGAGCTTTGGACACGGGCAGGAGAAATGATTACATGGTGCTACAGAGTCAGGCAACGGCCTGATGCGCTTGCTGGCACTTGCACAACCGGCGGTGTTCTCTTCTTTTTGTGAGCCCGAACATCTTTTGTCTGCAGCTTTCGCTCCTTGGGTTGAATTTGCAAGGCGCTTTATCGGATTCAAAGATCCTACAGCAAAATGGACATCTTCCGCAAACAATCCTATCTGGGCTACTCGACTGCAACTCATCAACCGCTGAAGAGAGAAAGTGTCATCATGTGGTGTCCCCAAGTGAAGGGATGCTATGCTCCGGGAAGCTTGGAAAGGCTGCTGTCGTGTACCCTTGGCCCAGTGCTTCAATCATTAGCCAGTTCGAAATCCATGAAGGCCGAATCACAGTCCGGTATCCGCCTAATCCTTGTTCTGGTTGGTATTCTTCTTAATCCGAAATCCACGCGGCAAAATTGTGGGTCAGAACGTATATTGGAGCATGGGAAATCCATGCAACCCATAATGCGCAATCCGCAACCCGCACAATCTAATCCGCAAAACGCATACTCCGCACTCCGCTAATCATTGGGGATTAGGTTTTGAACAAGCTAGAATCAGGGCCACCGATTCCACTGAGCCCGGGGGCACTGTCTACTTCCATGATGACTTTGGAGTCGGGCGAATTGCATTTGCCATCACTTGCCCCAAGCGGGGATGAATGTAAAAGTGGCCCTCTGCGGGTGACCCAATCGAAATTCCTGTGATTCGACACAGGTCCTGTGCCTCCGATTCCAAAGGACCCCGGACCCATGGCCAGCCGAAAGCCAACGAAAGACCAATCCGAGCGCAGCACGCCCAGGCCCATGTTCCTGGGGACCAGGTGTTCGCCACCGGCCTCGCGGAGTCGCTTCGATCAGGACGTCTGGATTTGGATGACAGGCGTCACTGGATTTTCCCTTCAAAAGTGGCATTTGACTGAGCTGTCCTCAGATCCCCCGCCTAAAAGTTTAACTTTTAGCTAAACACACAAAAGCTAAACACACAACAGCTAAAAGGCTAAGGGGATGGCTGGGAGCCACCAAGTCTACTTGTGGTTTCCATCGAACCTGCCGCTTTTGGAGGCTCCAACAAGGGAGATGGAGAAACACGATTGAGAAGACCTGGTTTCGTCTGGGAAGCCATCGAGACCCCTCTCAGATCCCATAGTGGCAGGGATGGCAACTAGACCTCAATGAATGCAACGTCCTTTCCAAACCATCATGGAAGAACCACATCCAATGTCGAGGTTACACTCTGCTTGTCGGGATTCTAACCCCTCATCATATTGGAAGTTGACGAGAAACCCCCGTGCTTCAAAAAAATGTATGTCTTCCAAAACCATCCCATCCCGCCCACCGCCCACTTTTATGGTTGAGAGTCGGCACATCCCCGCCTTGGCCACCGCTTTGGTTTGCGCCACTACGCCCACCACCGCACAAATCACGCCCAGCACCATGTACATGAGCTCCTCACACGTGGCCCAAAAGGAAATCAGTCCACTCCCAAGTTTTGAGAGCACGCTGATTGGAGATGTGGGTGTTTTTGGGACCCTTTTTGGGTTTGAAAGGGAAACGAAAAGGACACCCCACCCCACCCCGTTTTGGGCCCTGCCTTGAAGCAAATCAACATTCGACCCTTTTGGGTTTTGGCCAACCTTCACAAGTGCGTAGCAACCCTGATTCAGGTGCAGCTCTATGAATGAGGGCTTGTAAAGGCTCAAATCGACAAAGCCATGTCAAATCAAATGGACAGATCATGATCTCAATCAGGATGGTTATAAGGCTTTAAGGTCTGCCCATGCAGTGGGTACTAATGCGAGACGAGCACATTGGGAAAACATGATTCATAAACACTGGCTGGTCAAAAGCGACTAACATGGTGTCCCATTCGACACACACTCCTTCACTTCTTTTCGGAACCCTTTAGGTTAATCAAGCTGGAGTTCACATGAACGGTGTCTTGACGACGCGCACCCCAACTGAAGGCTCCCGTGTTCCGAAAATACCCCCCCCCCCCCCCAAGACCTTGCTGGAAGAAAGAGTGCGCCAAACCCATTGGCATTGCGGATGCCCCTGCGCTTTTGTCTAGCACTCACCACTTTGGATGCTCCTGATTTGACGGCCGGGGTTGTGAATCTACGGGCCATTGTTGGCGAAGCACAACCGTTTCTCTCCAGTTGCCAGGTACTGCCCTCCCTGTGCGCCGCCACATGGCTTCCCCTGCCCCGTCCTGTAAGGTAGTACCTGGCAGGGGACTTGAAAATGGTGGCTACTGGCAGGCGAAATCTGAGGCGCTCCAGCGAGCCGCAACAACGGCTTGGAGTGCAGAGGCAGTGTCTCTCTCTCTCTCTCTCTCTCTACCTCTCAAAATATTGCTTGCCCTGGCGCGTGGATCCCTTCCAAATCCTTCAAAAGGAGGGACGCTCTATGTTGCAACATGCAGAACCCAAGGTTACTGCAAGCCATCAGTGCCTATTCAGCCAACTTGATCAACCTCAGAGTCGGTGCAAATTCTTAGCCAGTGACATGGAACGAGCAAATGTCGGGTGCATGGCCAGAACAGGATACTGCTGATGGAAACTAATATCTAGCGGGTTCCCCTGCCCTTATTGTGAATACCCGCATGGCAACAACAACGATAGTCAAGATTAATCTCTTTGCAAGGATAGACGACTTGGGCCACATCCGCCTTTGGATGGCACTTGCATTTGGCTAAGTATGGAATGGCTCAAATTCAAGGCCATGATTTCAGAATGATGCTGAAGCGAAAAACATATTAGCCGCTGCGCATGAATCAGGGCTTTGATCATTGTGGCAAAAGTGATTCGCAATGAACACACCCAATCAAGTCCTAGAGTCTCGAAACGTTGGATCTACGTTTATGTACTAGGAACAAAATGAACATTTGTTGCAGAATCCCAGAAAACAGTAATGGCGTTGCTGTAACGAGGAGCAGGGGAGTATGGGCAAACTGCATCCCGCAGGAGTCCGGCCTTTCACAGGTTCAGAGCCTTTGTGCGGCCGCAAAGCTTGCACAAAGGCTGTGGCGATGGGAAGGCAAGATCGGATGACCAGGTTCAGCGACAGTGGCAGAAACCTTGGGCACGGGCTCGCTCTTTAAGATCAGAATCGCAGCCTTATGGGGAAACAGTACATGATCATGGCAGGTACTGGAATTACCTAGCAACTTAACAAGCCATATGCGCAAGTTCCCAGACTCCGCTCAGCACAGCATCGCCACTTCGAACACAACAACTTCCAACTGCTAAACTGGTCCTATAATGGCAAGGCTGGCCCCATATGCTCGGCGCATGGTCTGGATGCTTGAAGTCTAGCACCGTCACCGGCTAAGCGCGGCACTGGAAGCTAAAGTTGTTGAGACCTGAAGATATGACCAAGGGCTGCTGGCTCTCGGTGCTTCTTGCTGACTGAATCAAAAGTCATTTTACACAGGAAAACATGGAATCCCGACTAGAGTCCAGCGCTTGTGAAGCTGAATGAAGTGACGGATAGGTGTCCTGGCGTTTACAGTAGCTCCTCCGCCCTAACCTCTCAAGGATCAGTGTGTCTGGCAACTGAGGCTGGCCGAAGCAAAGCTGGGCATTGGGCATTGGCCGAAATCAATCAAAAGGGCTGAGCTTGACCGTTTGAGGCTAATCCCTTCCCCCTTTTCATAAATAGACCCCATTAATAAATACCGATTTTTCCAAAAACAGCCGGGTCCCCAATACTACTTCTAGAACAGCCCAATTCAAAACCAATACTAAACTGTACGATGTCTCCGCAGACCAGCCCCAGCCTTATTAGGAGGTTGCATTCAAAAGCCACCGCCATGCACAGTAGATGGCATAAAGCCCTGCACGTCTACACTTCCACTGGAGGCAGCCTCCAACTATCTTCGTTTGCTCGTTTTGAGGCGAAATTGTTTCGTGAGAGTCGAGAGGGAAACCTTCAAATTGTCCGTTTTGGACGCTACGGGACACCTTCCGTCTGCCGGGGCCCCTTGCCGATGTTGGCTGCGAAGGACGCGGAGAACGCCAGGATCAGCCGAACCTCCAGCCAGCTCGTCAAGGGCTGCGGGATATGCGGCCTGCGTTCCCGTCGCGACAAGGCTGACTCCTGCTCCTGGTGAACTGATGTACTTCTAGGGGTATCTTCCCCATTCTTTCCAAGGATCCTTCTTTTAGGAAATTATTAAAAACCCAGGGAAACAACCGGTTTTGAAAAGAACGATGGTTGAAAAGAATGGAGCATCAACCCCTAGAGTACTTGTCAAACAACACGAAACCTTTCTTGGGAGTGGAAGTATCAGTGGGGAGCTCAATAGCCTGCATTTGCCAGAAACGCAATCGAATCTCTGAAACGACATGCCATGGACAGCTTGAAGCCATCTTCGTGCCCCAAGAGGCAACTCACGACAGACCGTTACATCAGACCCACTCAGACTCATAAACTGCAACGGAAGACATTGATCACATTGAGGTATCGATCAATGGACAACTGCAGCCTTCAGCATTAACTTTGCACGCGGTCCCTCCAACCCAAACCGCGAGGGATGAAACCCTGCCGCGCGGCCACGGCGTGAACCGGGAGACGAAGAAGGCGCCGCCGAAAAGGGCGAAGGTGGTGACTTGATGCACAGCCTAAGCACAGCGACTCAAGCCGCGCCGACTGAATTTTGGATAACAAAGCCTCCTTGCCTCCTCCTGGCATTGATTCATCTCCAAGGTGCTGTCATAAGAAAGGCGGCTGGAAGTCCATGCAAATCCAGCTCATGCGACACAATGGCGCTGGAGATGATGCTCTTCGCAAGCAGCATAATGCCTCAAGCGGCTAGTTGGATTAAATCCATGGCTCCACATACAGCCTGGGGCGTAGCAGGCAACGGCCGTGACTGTGCTGGCCGACAAGGCAATTACAAAATAACTAGTTCTCCCAACATCAGGTTGCCTCACAGCTCGTAAGTTCGAACTTAGAACGGACTTCCTATCTGCACGCAGGAACAGGTGGCCTCGACCTTCCGCACCCCGCATCGATCCGGCCTGTTTGGGCGCCGAAGTAGATCATCAGCAGTGAGGCAGTTCGCAGCTGCGGCACTGGGCGACCTTCGGGTGACATGCTGACATGGCCATGGGGCAAAAGCCAAATCGTACCCCCAGTCAACATCCCAATCCCCACTAAAATAGGTTCTATAATAGGTGGTGCACCTACCCCAAAATGGCACCATTGGTTTTGAGTTTCTTCGCTGTCTTGACATGGCTTCCTCAAGTCAGAGAGGGCAAGGGGTTCAAGCAATCAGAGCATCATGGCGATAGCTCGCATATGCCTGTACCATCTCGTTCTTAGCACTCTGTGTGAAGTAATTTGCATGTGGTCAAGTTTGCCGTGCTTGATCAGACTTTGACTGAGCATGACACAGACAGTATCAGGTTACTTTGTGCTTTACCCGAGGGCATGTTCAGCTTACTGCAGAGTTCAGATGAGACACTCAGCGCTCCAAGTAGCAGCGCGATCAGCGGGATTGAAACCTGGCTCACGGAACTTCATGGAACTTTTGCAAACGGTTCTATGCTTGGCTGTTTAGACACATGCAGCGGGGAACGCCATGTGTGTTGAGAAACATCGATCCAACTCCGCAAGCCAAGCCAGTGTTCCAAGAAGCCATAGGGCAGGATCCAGATTCACGAAACTTTGCCCCGAAATGACGATCGACTCCGGCCCCGGTTGGCTCGATCTATCCCAAGGCCCATGAGATTTGAGTCTCCTCCTCGGGTTTGAGAACTACACCTGTATGGATTGGCAAGGATGCGCTAAATGGGGACAATGCATCACCACTGAATTCCCCCTTTGCCAGGGGCAAGCGACATCCACGCTTCTCATGTCTGGCCTCCTTTGCAACCCCGGAGATGGCAACCTCGGATGCACCGGTGTCAGAAAGCTCACCTGAGAACTGCCAGTCTGCTAGCTGCAGCTTGCAGTGTTGTCTCTGAGTTGATCGTGAAAGTTATCGTGTACTCGAACGACGCACCACATCCAAATAGACAACAGCACAAACAGCACCGGCAAGAATGTCAACAAACAGAATACTGCCAAGCAGGCAGCAGCAGCAGCAGCAGCAGCGGCAACAACAACATCACCGATACGATGGGCAACAACACCAACAACACCAACAACACCAACAATACCCTCCGCAGCAGCAGCAGCAGCAGCAAAGGCAACAAACAAACAAACAACAAACACGCAAACAATCATACATAGGCACACACGGAAAAACGCAAGCATTAACTAACCAACAGATCGACCGACCGGCCGACCGACAAGCAACTACCAAACACCCACAAGCACCACAACAACAACAAGAACAAAAAGAAAAGCACAACAACAAAAGCAACAAGAACAACACAACACGACAATAAGAAAAAACAAACAAACAACAACCACAACAAGACCAACAAGAACAACACAAACAAACTAATAACATGAATCAACAACAACCCAAAGCAGAACCACACAAACAAAAACAAAAGAACAAAGCAATGACAATCAACGACAACAAAAAACGCCAACAAAAATGACAACAACAGCAACAGCAACAATGACAACAACACGAACAACACGAACACGAACAACACGAACAACACGACGAACACAAACAACACGAACAACACGCACAACACGCACAACACAAACATCACGAACAGCACGAACAGCACGAACAACACGAAAAACACAAACAACACGAACAACACGCACAACACGAACATCACGAACAGCACGAACAACACGAACAACACGAACAACACGAACAACACGCACAACACGAACAGCACGAACAACAATAACAACACGAACAACGCAAACACGAACAAAGCAAACAACAAACAACGCGAACAACACAAACAACACAAACATGAGCCAACACAGCCAACACAGCCAACAAAGCTAACACCAGCCCGCACCAACAGAAACAAAAACACCAGCACAAAAAAAGAACAAAACACGGCAACAGAAACAACAAGAAGAACAAACAAGGACCACACACACAATAACGAGCACAAGAACAGCAACAACAACAACAACAACAACAACAACAACAACAACAACAACAACAACAACAACAACAAGAACAACACCAACAACAACAACAACAGCAACAACAACAACAACAACAACAGCAGCAACAGCAGCAACAGCAGCAGCAGCAGCAGCAACAACAACAACAACAGTAGCAACAGCAACCACAACAGCAGCAGCAGCAACAACAACAACAGTAGCAACAGCAACCACAACAGCAGCAACAACAACAACAACAGAAACAGCAACACCAAAAACAAGAACAAGAACAATAAGCAAACGCCAACCAAAATTAATCAACCTAACAGCAAAAAGAAAGACACACAAACGAGCAAGCGATCGAACAAACAAACACAGCAGCAGCAAGGGCAGCAACAAGAACAAGAGTGTCCGTGACTACTGCTCAGCAACGACTAATGAACACGCAACAAACAACAAACAATCAATCACACCATAAACAACAAGTATAACAGCCAGCAAACCCTACATGACAAGCCACAAGCACGCAAGCCAGCCACTAGCCATAGCCCAGCAGCCACTCAGGCAAGAAACTGTCCAAAGACACGCACTCACACATCACAGCACCACGGCATTGTCCATGTGCCGGCCAAGTCACATGCGGGTGCACATGCATGTATGCTTCAGCATTCCTGCACACAGGCACGTGTAAGGGATGTACCACTCGGAAGCACCCTTCCTACTGTGCAAGTACCCTCAGGAATGAAGCGCAGCTTCAGTTCGGATAGCGCTCAACGTCATGGACCATGTCGTTGGTGCAAATCTTTCCCTCTCTCACTCTCTCCGTCTGTTTCTCTAGTTCCGGACATCCGATCAAAGCGTTCACTCCTACAAGTATAAAGCGTTGCCTCCCTTAAACCTGCTGAAAGGCCCGCCCGCATTCGGCAAGCTGGCTGATAGGCTGCAGCCTCAAAGCTAAGACTGTCTTGATCTTATCCTCTGGGCAGTCAGAAAAGCTTATCGTATGCCGGCTAAGCGTTTTCAGGTCTGGCTCGCGCCTGCTGAGAAAGAGGAGGCCAGCCTTCAGGGCACGGCTGGTCAGACTTGTGCGAATCCGATTCGTCTTAGGGCTTGCCCTTTGAGTTTCTTGCAGTTCATGGGAACCCATAGACAGGGAGCTATGGGGTATGGGTTGGTCTTAGGATAGCTGTGTGGCTTCCCATAAGGCCATACGGTTGCTCTCCTTCTCACTGCTCGCATTTCACCATTCCGCCTCTTTCTCTTCTGAGAATCGATGTACGTAAGGCTAACCCGCTAACCCCAAAATCCCTCCCTAACTGTTAATCCCCAAACCCTCAAACAAAAACCACATTTACCTGAGCTTCATCCCTCGCAGCAGAAGTAAGAAAAGTAAGAAATTAAGGTCACAACAGTTCAGAAAGCACCCTCAGATGTGGGATGCCTAGCTTGTATCACACCATGAGGCTGTCTGCAGCTTGTGCCTGTCGATGCTATGATCCCGTGGTGTTTCTTGGCCAGTCTGAACATGGATCGTAAACCGCTTCTGCCAAAGGTTTGGGCTGTAAGACGCCCAGCGAATACAGGAAGGTGCCATCCGCTGGCTATCAGAAGGGTATCACATGACCAAACTTTGGGTTCAGGAGTTGAGAGACACTGAGCGCAGCTGCGTTTCACTCGGCAAGGGCTGCAAAAACATCTGGTGTCTAAACTAAGGAACAGCAAGTGGATTAGTTGTTGTACGTAGTTAAACTCATAAATCGGCTGTGTTGCGTCGCAAAACTTACTCAGAATACAAAAGTTTGGGCTCACGCACATGATACATCTGGCCAACGCAGGGAACATGGTGCGCTGCTACAATTGCCATGGTATTGATTCTACAGCATCAGTGAGATTTCGAGCAAGTTTTCACCTCTAGCATGCGGAATTGCAATGTCATCCTTATCACCCCCCCGCGGCAAATGGCCAGCCCACTTTCCAGCAACAGTTCTATCCAGTGAAACGCACTGCAATCCCCTGACCTCTGATTGGTGGCTGCAAGATTTGCCAAGCTTTCTCGCTTCTGTAGCTGCCCACTGGCCGAACAAACCGAGAGGGTACCACACACGTCTAACGCCAGGCGAGAAGCGGCTGCCAGGGGTACAACGCCACGCCACCGGCGTGGACCTCAGGCTCTCGCTCGACACCCTGAAAAATGGAAACACATCTTGCCGGGAATGAGAAATGGAGCGACCCCGAAAAAACATGTTTTTTTTTTGAAATGGCATCCCCGTCCGGTTCATTCCTGTCACCTGGAAGGTCAGTCCCTGGCTTTGGCACCAGCAAGACAAATACCAAAAACGAACAAATCAACAGCTTCCAAAACAGAACAAAAAACAAAATTCCCGTCAACATCCTCACATGTTTGCCACACTGCGAGAAGAACCGCAGTATTTACTGGAGGATTTGTGTGTTTGTCAGCCACGAATTGAAGTCATGGCTGTCAGGAACTGCACCGAGCGTTTGGTTTGTTACTTATGCGGTCCTTCAGGAGGACCTTGGTAAGCCAGAAGTCCATCCAACAATCCACTCACCCTCACCCCCTCGATTGGCTTCTTTAGGGATAAATGGCTTCGCGCCCTCAGTCTGACGCGTCGCTATGCTAAGAAAGTCACAGTGGATGGACAAAGCAGCATGTTGGATCAACAGGAAAGCCACGCCAGTTGTTCATCCTCTAGAATAGCTAATAGTGGCACCGATACTGAACGTACAGTAGTGGTTGAACAAACTAAAGAACTTGGTAATTACAGCCGTGGGTGATCAAACAGGCGGATATCTCCACAGCGAGATTGTGAAGCTGTACTGGTATTCTGCAAGCTGCAAATATCTAGCAGACTATACTACGATTTGGGTTGACCAAGGGAGTCAACTTGAGGCCACAATCGCCATTCAACATCCATGCCACTAACATGCTGGCTGGGGGTCCTGATTGACGAGTGTGTTCCAAGAGCGAGCCTTTGGTGCACTCCACGATAGTGGGGCAAGGGGGTAACTCAATCGCTCGGTACAAGGCGCGCTTCGGCTGCCTGGCCTGAGGAAACGGATGGCAGATTTGGCGATGGTTCAACTAAATCCTTGTGATAGTCAGCAGATCTCACTGGGAAATGTGGCCAGATTTGACTGAGGTGCAGTACAGTAAATGGTTGCCTGTGCAAGGCCCAATCTCGTCCCTAGGCCCCCTGCTTAGGCTGCTCATTTGCGTGCATTCAGGGTGGCAAACGATCATTCAACAGCCATTGGTAAAACAGGGAGAAACACACCATACTGTACATTGGCCAGTACAACATTGGCAAGGGGAACCGCTCGTGCTGTCACGTGCTTTAGCTTACGCGGGAGACAAAAGGGCCACTTTCTCAGGAGTAATCTTGGAAAGCTACGAGCAGGCTTACGTCAATCGCAACACATCCCTGCTGAACTGTTGCCGGCTGGTCTCAAGTCAACGTGGAACTAGCTGAAACTGTAAATGTCATTCAAGTTCATTGACCAAAAAGTAAAGCTTTTACATATTTCCAGGGGTTGATTCCCCATTCTTTTCAAGTATCGTCCCCTGGGGTTCTGATGGTTTTCAGGAAAGAAGGATCCCTGGAAAGAATGGGGAAGTGTCGCCTAGAATAGTGTTGCATATAGCAGGGAAAACCGCAGCTGCACTTTTGCGGCGCCTACTGGTCGATCAACATCTTCAACAGGGAAAACAGGCCATATGCACATCCCACTGCACATGCCAATCCCAGCAGCAGCGCCAAAAAATTGGCTGTGTAGCAGAAGACAAGAACTTTGTTCATGTCCTTCTTGAGGGACTCCCGGTCGTTGACCTTGGGAAAAGGCTCCTCCGGCACCGGCAAATCCAGAAACTTGCAGAGCGGCTCCCAGCCCTCCTTAACGTCGAAGACCAGCAGCCTCTCAGGCGGCACGGAGCTCTTTACCCTCTCCACCCAGGCTTTGAAGGAGCGGATGGAGCCTTCACGGTCCGTGCGCTTCACCTTGGGCAGCATCGTCCGCTCGTGGAAGAGCCGCGCTTGTCGCTGAAACCTCCGGCCATTGGCGAAAATCCTCACCGACCAATTCTGCTCACCACAGCGCCAGGACCAAATGGTGTCAATGACGCTGTCATACCACTGCTCCGGGTCTCGCACTGTCAAAAGGACCTTGGCGTCTGGATACGCTTCCATGAGCTCCTTGTACATTCCGCAAGCGGGGTAGTCCACGGTCGCGACATAGGACCCACCATCTGGATGCCTAAAAATGGCATCAAAGTCCGGTTTGCCATTGTACGCATCAATCCACTTCTGGAAATCTGGGCGCTTGGCGCACTCGAACATGTGATAGCACGGCCCGTTGAGCAATTTCTCCAACGCCAGCTTTGCGCTGTTGGTGCCCGTGCGGCCCCACCCTGCGCCGATGACTTTGAGCGTCGGCTTTGCCGTCACCCAAGCCGTCGACTCGCTCGCCATAGCCCCAAGAAGGGACGCTCAGCGGCGAGAGGAAGGGTTTTGTCGGGCACTTGAGCCAAACGAGTACATAAAGTATACCTGGGTCTTCCCTTCTGTGCGAACTTATTGCTGTTTCGGAAACGACATAATTGTTTCTTGACCAAGCAGCGATTATTTTTGCCTGCGGTCCGGCGATAAATATAGTTATTTCGGGAAACGGCGTTAATTTTTACATGCTGGTGGTGTTTCCAATGGTCATCCCATGAGGACCTTTTGATCAACCCGCATAATATATTGCCATAGGCAACCACTTGAAGGGGCGATCGGGTACTTAGAAAGTGGTTTGCAAGCCTGGTTGTAGCCCACTTCTTACCATGCTTACAATAGTCTCTGTTCGGTGGGTTATAACCAGGGCGCAAAGCCAATGTCATGTTGCGCCTGGCTTACTTCAGGCACCATTGAGAATGTCGAATGATGTGCCTTAAACACGACATCCGCTGAATTTAGAGAACATGGCATGCTGCCATGCCTGTCGTTATCCTCTACCTCACGCCTTAAGCCTAAGCCCCTCTTAACCTGCCAAGCTTAATCGCAGATCTAGGAATTTTACGCTTTGTCCTGGGCCCCAACCGCCGGTTGTTTGACATAAACCTCTCCAAGCACTGACATTGCAAACAGTCATTCGTAGCGGTTTCTCACAAAGGGGCTCTGTTTGGACACCATCCTGAATGCAAACACATATGACCAACAGCAAACAATTAGGCAGCTTGCTAATTCTACTTTCCATTGAAGCCTTTGCGTCCCTACTCAACCCATTAGGAAGACTACTCCACAGAGAAACAAAAAGAAGAAAACAAAGACCGAACAAGGGAGGCCAGGGGGGTGGGAGTTCAGGGTTACTCGAAAACCGAGTCAGCCCCCCACAACCCCGGAACCCCCTGTAACCCACCCCAAGTCGCCTTTCTGCGCCTATCGACCCCATAGCTTTCAGCTCAGGAGTTGAAAAAACTTGGTTGCTTTCTGCTCTCCTGCTAAAAGCTTAACTTTTAGTGGTTTACCGGAAAACCCAATTAGTTGGCAAAAAGTTCAAGTCCTCAAAGGCCAAACAAGATCCAAAAAGGTCCTCGCCTCCATGGCCGCCCAGTTCCGGCCGCCCAGTCGACTCCCGGCTGGGGGCCCAAAGAAAGCTGCGGCGAGAGATCTCATGGCCAGAAGCAAAGCACCAAATGGCTTGGCGCTCAATGGTGTTTTGTCTTTGACCTTCGGTAGCGTGTCTCTTAAAAAACACCGCGGCTTGGATGCCCATAGCGTGGCTTCCTTGTGATCTCCTTCAAACCCAAACAAACCACGGCGCCCGCAAAACTCAGCGAGACACACCCGCTCTGTCCAAAAGTCCACCCCTCGCTCCTCAGCGCTGCTGTCCGCAGCCCTCTGCAGCTCTTCGCAGCGGGCCTGCGACCAGAAAAAAAAGGGCCCGGGCCCCTCTTCTTTCGAGCCCACCGGGTTTTGGGCGGTAGCCTCTTCCTGAGTCCACCAAAATGACCTCCCACGTCTAAGGCAAAGCGAACTCCGAAACGCGCCATTCATTCAAGCGATACGGGCCCCAATGTCGATCCTGTGAGAGGTGCCTTTGACCTCGAAACCATCATTCTACACAAAAACGCGCGCGCCTTCAAAACGCGCTGTCAGTGCGTGCCCCATTTGGGGCTTCTGGAGCTCCACGTCAGAGAGTTGGGGGGGGGATTGGGTTATGTGGGTCATGCAGTGTCAGGGTTCTGATAAGCGACACAGGCAGTTTTCCGAATCTGGAGGTTTGTCTGTGTCCAAGGCCCAGAACAAGATCTCGGAAATGGACTTGATCTAATAATGTTCAATCTATGGCATATTTTTTCTGACACATTTCTTGCAGCCCCTTTCAAAATATTCACACAAACATGCAAGCCACGTAGTATCATTCTGGGACTTGGACGAACACCTCGCGTGCGGCCCTTCCACCAAAGCCCAACGACTCCGGGTGAGGGTGCTGCGGCGCCCATCGCCAATGGCTACTTTTCTTGCTCCACCCAGAGTCGCCGCTTCCAACCGGGGCAAGCAAGGTGAACAAAGCCGCCTGCCACTGGAGAAGCATGTCTACACGACATTGTAGAATCAAAACAACAACGGATTAAGTCTTTTTTGATATAAAATGTACGTGCTGCAAGCCATACCTGCCCAAGGAGACTCAGTTTGCTCATTGTCACACGCGGAGCTAGCGCCACAGCACTGCCGCTTGCCTAGCAGAGGACGTCACAGAGGGCCAAAGAGTACTGAAAAGGCGGGAGGAAACATGTGACATGCTGCAGTCATGTGTTTTGCTGCTGTTGCCTTCCCTATCTGTGGGGACTGGTGCCCTTCTGATTGGCGAATTTGACTGACAACAGCACCACAGTCCAACTGTCATAATATGCCACAGCGTGCAACAAATTCACCCTGGCATCTGTCAGGTTCGGCTGTGGCAAGAACAAGTCTCATAGAGGTTCGCAAGACTTAGTTCATGCTCGCAATTGTCTAAGAGGTTGTGCCTTCAAAGAACAAATAAATTGGCTTGGTGTCCTTGATGTTGTGCTTGCCCCTGAACTCGTGGCAAACGCTTGCCGCACCCTTCATGGAACGTTTGCTAAAGCAATGCATCTTCCTGGCTGAAGGATACGAGCCACGTGTCACTGATACAAACCTCTCTAGACCTGGATTACTGCGCGACAGCTTCGTGCTCCATCTTGCCTCTTCGCTGCAGGCACTAGGCACTTCTCTGTTTTCCTTTTTTGAATTGTCCAAAAGGAACGCCCTTAATAGATCACGGCTCCGAAAATCTTTGGCGCGATTCTACCCAAAGATGCGATCAACGGTGATATCGATCAAACCACGAAGAGGCCGTGAACGGACATCCCGTTTCCCAGGAACTTGTACGCACCATGCACAGCACCAGAACACAAGCTGTTCCCTGCCTAGACCCGCTCGGGCAGCTCGATGATCCGCTGGTTCACGCCAGGCTCGGGACGGTTCATCCTTGGCATTTCCGGAGGGTTGCGCTCAACCTGCTGGGCTCAAAAGAGCCTCATGGCAAACCATTGATATGCGGCGGCATTCGCATGCTAAGATGTCATTGTCACAATCAATCAGAATTTATGACCATCATCACTTTTATCATCACTTTTATCATCATCATCATCATCATCATCATCATCATCATCATCATCATCATCATCATCATCATCATCATCATCATCATCAGCAGCAGCAGCATTATCATCATATGCTCTGCCTAACTAGCGATCTCATCAAACACATTAGGGGTTGCGGTCATCCTGATAGCAACCAGCTCGAACTACTTGTGTATGCCAGCCTTGAAACCTCATCTCGAAGAGATAGTCAAGCTGCAGTCGGAGAAAAAAGGCCAAGCTCTACATATCCCCCTTTGAACAGTGCCTCGCTGAGAGCAAGGCTTTGTATGTGCATTGACTGCGATTCCTCGAACCTTTTGGCAACGAAATTAAATCAGGTGCCAAAGGGGAAACCAACCGTTTGGAGGGGTCTCGAGCTCAGTACCTATATCCAGCACCCACAAAGCATCCGCTCAAACTACACAACAATAGCGCACACCTGAGATAAGTAATCGCAGGTACAGGATCTTCATCATGGGGGGCGCTTACTATTTGCTCCCAAAGCATTCAGCATCATTCAGCGACCCTTCCCTTGCCAGGGGGCTGTCTGCAACACAGGGCCACACCTGCCACCAGCAGCCCCAGGATGGCCACGATCCTTTCAGCATGGCTCATGTCCCCAAAGCTCATACCAGCCGAGCCCCTTTCGGATGGCCAGGCGAAGGGAAGCAAAGCCAAACCCACCCATGGAGTGCCCTATGCTGTAAAACCCCGATGATTAACCCGTGAATCGATGGAAGGGTTTCTATGTTTGAGTCGTAGCTGATATGCGGCGCAGGGACTCTGTGCCCCATAATGCAAAAAAACTAGCTATCACCAAGATGTTGGCCGCTGATGGCAAGTTGAAATTCACCCAAGGTGCAGCGACAAAAGCGCTGACTGAATGAAACTTTCGTGTAGGTGTGTGCATGTTGGCTTCAAACTCACTTTCATGTTCAAGTTGGATTGCTGCCAGCAACCAGAACACACTTCTTCTCTCCAAATAGCTGAATGTACTTATTGGAACTCATTCGAGACTTGTTCAACTTGTGATTGAACTGTTACTCCTCTGAACTGCTCAAGCTGACTCTGCTTAGGCCGCTGGCTCGACATGGAGAAAAAACAGGAAACAACAAATCAACAGCCGCTTGCTCTATTTTGGCTTCAGCTAGGAGCACTAACAAATTCCACCCCCGGCTGCCGTTTTCTTGGCTACTGCAAGTGATCTCTCCGACAAGTACACCGCCAATCTTCTCTGCCAAGCGTCCTAAATCCACCGGTCCTGGCGGGTGCAAAGCATATGAGCTGACACACCGCGAACAGCCGTGTGAAACAAGGCGCAGCACCGACAGCTGCCACTCAAGGAGCCCAGTCTGTCCTGGAATCCAATGGTGGCTTCGGGGGGTCGGGTCCTGCGGCACGCATAAATGCAGCTTCTGGGAAGCTTTTCCTTTGAGTCCAACCGAGAAGGGTCTTCACTGTTTCAATTCAAAACGCTAAATATCTCCAAAGCTCAGGACCCGGTTGCCATCACGTCGCTGGCTTGCAAAATGGCTGACATATTGATATCTTCCACGCTTCCGTCTGGTTGCGTGCATGTTGTGTCCTGGACCTGGGACTTCCGGAGCGTCGGAAGTTGACGTCACCGTCACCGTCATCGTCGTCGTCACCGTGGCGGTCACTGTCGCTGGGATGGTTACCGTGACTGTGGTCCGAGTAGAGGTGACGGTTGTTGTTGCCACTGGCTCCACTGGCTCCACTGGCTCCACCGGCTCCGTGTCTTCACAAGACGGAGGTTGCCCAAGGAGCGTCTCGCGGATGTCAGTCGCAAAGGTGATCAGC